TCAACAAATACAGAAGTATGTAGAAATGGCAAGTTCCTCAAGTCATCATATAAGAAATATTTGTGTTTTTGGTGGATCTAGTCCTGGGAAAAAAAGGAGTTTTTAGAATCAGCAAATCATCTTGGTCAAGTGCTAGCTGAGAGAAAGATTCATTTAGTGTATAGGGGAGGCAGTCTTGGGTTAATGGGAGGTGTGTCAATAGCTTTATTTTTAGGAGGTAGTCAAGTTTTGGGGGTCGTCCCCAAAGCTTTAGCACAAGGGGACATCATTGGAAAAACAATTAGAGAGGAACTTCAATTCTCCACAATGTCGGCTCGAATGAATGCAATGTTTAACCATGCTGATGCCTTCATTGCTTTACCAGGTGGTCTAGGCACATTGAAAGAGATCTTTCATATTTCCTCTTGGGCTCAACTGCACATTCACCATAAACTCATAGGTTTGTTAAATGTTAATGGTTATTATGATAAGTTGTTGTCTTTTCTTGATCATGTTGTGGAATAGGAATTTCTATCTTCTACATGACAAATCATAATCTCTGCTGCTACTGCTGAACAATTAATTGACCAAATACAATCCTTCATTCCTGTAATTGATCCCTCTATGAGTCGTATAAATTGGTCAACTAAGGAAAGTCGTAAAAAGCTTAGATTGGATTTGAGCCTTTATTTGTGAATTTTTATGTCTTTTGTTATTTCTTATTTTTGTTTCAGTGTGTTTCAGGTTTGTCAGTATTCGTTATTTCAGGTGATATCTTCTATACTCTATTTTTCTACCTTAGAACATTGAGGACAATGTCTCGTTTTGGTTGGGGGGAAAGGGTAGTAGTTGATAAAAAAAATTGTTTTTCATTTCATAAAGCGTGTGCATAATTGTTGTTACTAGGATGACAGAGTAAATGAGCTCTTTTATTAAAGTGAGTCTTGAGACGCATCTTAGCAACCATTCTTAACAAGGTCTATTATAATACTTCTTGAAATATTCAGGTTTACAAACTCTCGCATTGTTATCACTTAATTCTGCTCATATACTTATTTAAGATGTATTCTTAAACCTTAATTTACACACACACACACACTTTAACATATGATTGTGGGTTGCATATTGGATTATTACATTATTTATGTTCTTTTGTTAAAGGTAACAACTAAGGGAAAGGGATTGTATATAATTAAAAAAAAAAAGAAAAAAAAATGATAATAATAAAAATGTAGATAAGTTTTGTTTTGTAGCCTCCCTAACTAAAGCAATTAAGCCCGAAGGGGTGTTTTAACACCTAATACCCTAAAGTCAACTAACTTGGGAACTATTGGTCCAACACTTGTTACATGGGTTGAGGAGAAAAGTTTAAGGGAATCAAACTTTGCACTATTTACATATCAGTATCTGTGACCCGAGTTACTCAGCTCGTAGGGGTGTCTTAACACCTAATTAACATGGTTTGACAGGTTAATCCAGCTGATTCAGATTTTTTTTATTTTTCTTTATTAGTTTTTTTCTTCTTGTAGGTTTTTTTCTCTTTGCTTTTTCTTTTTGAATTAATGTTTTCTTTTATTTAGTTCATTAATATTAAACTTTTTTTATATTTAGTTATTATATTTTCATGACACGAATCATAGGTTTGACCGCTTAACCTGATTTAGTGGGTTAATTCAATTGATTCAGATTTTTTCCTTTTCCTCATTAGTTTTTTTTTTGTATTCATATTTTAATATTGTATACAGTTCATAGTAAAAATGATGATGCCTTGAACTTTTTATTGTTTTTTTTTCATTTTACGCCTTTCACTATGGATTGCAAAATGCAATCCACGGTGAAAAAGGCTGATGCTTTTTTTAATTAATTAATTTTTTATTTAGTTATCAAATTTTTATGATATGGATCTTAGATTTGATGGGTTATACCAATTAATTTAGATTTTTTTTCTTTTTATAATTTTTATTCTTTTATTTTTTATTTTTAATTAATATTTTTTATTTAATTTAGTTCATTAATATTAATTTTTTTATTTAGTTATTAGCTGATGCCTTAAGTTTTTTTTCTTTTTATGCCTTCGATTATGGACTACACTATCCATTCCACAGTGAAAAGACTGATGTTTTTTTTTCTAATTAATTTTTTCCATTTAATTTAGTATGTTTAATTTTTTTATTTAATTATCAAAATTTTACGACAGGAATTCCAAGTTTGACGGGTTAACCTGATTTGAAAGGCTAATGATTAGTACTTAAAAGTGTATTTTTATCATGGTTTTATTTCATCATTTTACACTTGAAGTATCAATAACTCCTTAACTAAAGCATGTTTTATAATAATATATTTAATAATATAAGATACCTTTAATTTGTGGTAAATGTTCATTTTAAATGAAGGCCTATCACATAAATGAAAGGATTGATTGATGACTTTAAGAACTTAAATTGCAAGGGCAAAGAGATGGCCAAACTTAGAAAAGAGATGTCAGTGCAATCCAAACCGGAACATTGTTCGGTAATTGGGTCATATCTAGAGCTATAGATCTCAGATTTAAGTTTACTTTATATGGATGGAAAGGTAAGACATAGGCCTACAACTTTCATAAAAGCCCAAGATCTAAAAAAGTCATTTGCAAGTCCAAATTGTAGCAACAACAAAGAAGCCCAAATCTATCCTGCAGCCCGAGCACTGTTCAGTATTTTGGCTATATCTAGAGTTCTAGAGGTCAAAATAAGCTGAAGTTTTTACACAAGAAAGCTGAGACAATTGCCTACAACTTTCATGTTTTCGAGGGGCTCCAATTCTGACGTTATCAATCACGTTTTGGGAAGACAAGAGAAGATAAAGATTGTCATCAAGTCAAGAGTTGGCCACCCCACTCATCAATTAGTCATCAAATCAATAGTTTCCAATTTTAGCCTATAAAAGGAGGCATTTGCCATGCATTTAGGTATCTTGGTGTTCAGATCAAGATCATACTCTTCCTTTCTCTCTTTGTATTTTTTGTAATGTTTATGTTTTGCTTTCATTAATATCAAGTTTATGACTTTCATTTCCTTTCACTTACTTAGTTAACTTTAATCTTATTTATGTTTTTATTTTATTTATTTATTTTTATTTCTTTCATTATGTCTAGCTAAGTTTATTATGTCAAGATGAAAAGATTACACTAATGGTGTAAGAATAAGTATAGTGTAAACTTAATATGGACTTTAATGCTTGATATTAATGTGTTTTATATTTGTTATCTTGTTTACTTTTTAATACTTTGCTTGTTAAATGACTAATCTTGATTTATGTTATATAACACTTGGTACAACAAATGGTTGGCACTTTCATAGCCCATACTGTATGGTATAACCGACACCTGAGCTATGAAAGGAACTTAATTTGTTGTTAACATAAGTTATAATCATGAATGCTTGACGAGATTTACAAGTATTAGCATTAATCAAATAAGATGACTAATGTAATCATGTTAACAATTTATAATCTGATTGAAACCTTCTTTATGTGTGGTTTCCAATTGAATAATACGAGTTTATATTATACTTATTTGACATACCATTAGTGGAATCTCTAACCTTGACATTTGTTATTATCATTGTTTAATCGTTACATTAATATTACTTCTCAAAGTTCTCATCTTCTTCTCCTTCATTTTCTTTATTACTACTACTACTACTACTAGTATTATTATTATTATTATTATTGTTATTATTATTATTGTTGTTGTTGTTGTTGTTGTTGTTGTTGTTGTTGTTGTTGTTGTTGTTGTTGTTGTTGTTGTTGTTGTTATTGTTGTTGTATTATTATTTATAATTTGTACATTTAACCTCTCTTTGGTTCGATCCCGGTCTTGCCGGGTTATTTTTCACTTCGACACTCCTGCACTTGGGAGAAGATATCAATCTTTTCGTCGTGTCAACTAACCTAATTAATTTAGATTTTTTTTAATTAATCTATTTAATTATCATATTTTATGACATGATCTTGAAACTAGATCCATATCCAAGGTTATTGAGTTTGGTATTGCAGTTAGACCCACTTAAATTTGGGTCATACAAGTTTAATGTTATTATTAATAGTACAAATATTACTCTTAGGTGAGGTGTTGCAACAAAACCCAAGACTTTTTATTATAATTTTATAAAAATACCTAATATTTTTAGATCGTAACTTTTTTTAATATTTTTATATAAAAAATTAACTTACGACATTACAAGGGTCATGTAACTTGTATTTTTCTGAAATTGTGTGCAGCAGCACGTATATTTTAGGGTGTTTGAAATTATGTATGTTTTTCAAAGGTAATTTTTTAATTTAAAAATATATTTAATTTTTTTTATTTTTAATATTAGCACATTAAAATCATTAAAAAATATTAAATTTTTATTTTTTCAAGTCTAAAACACTTTTAAAAAAATAAAAACAGAAACAGAAATCGTGTACTTAATCACAATCTAGTGGTAAAAGATGGGTTTCTTTTTTTTTTTTTTTTGATTTACGTGGGGTGTCCGGGCCAGCTTACGCGCACCACGATTAATCCACACGGCCCACTGAACATCCTGCAAGCCCAGTGAGCAGGTAAGGCACCGCGGGAGTAACAGGTGTGCATAGTAAGATTCGAATCCAGATACGAAGGAAGGGGACAAGCCCCTTCCACCACTAGGCCAGAACCACACTTACGTAAAGTGTAGGAATAGAATAAAAGGAAAAAGAAAACAAAAGAAAAAAAAACAAGAGAAAAGAAACAAAGTTATATACAAGAAAAGTGAAGAGAGAAAATAAAATAAATATTATAATTTATACAAAACTTATCTCCCCGACAACGACGCCAAAAACTTGACATTATCTGTCAACACATTTCCATTACTAAAAGGTATGTACGTGCATGATATAATTGCAGTTCTCTTTGAGTGATAAATTTGTTTTCCATTATAATAATGATCGGTATTGTGAGTTAATATAAACTTGCTTAGGATTTCACTTATCAGTGTATTTAGCTTTGAGTTGAGACTGTTCATTAACAATAGTTACTTACATGATTTTATGTAGATAGCATCTGAGATAGAACACGATGCACCTTATGGAGCAGCCATGAAAGTACCTTTTGATAAAATGCATGATTAAGTACTGTCAGGAACATTTCGATAAAATCCGCTGTCCAGTTACGCCCTCTAATGATACTGTACTTCATCTAGCTGTGTACAGTAAAACAGAGCACCCACTTAAAGTTTTACTTGAAATCATGAAGAAAGGAGAATTACCTTTAACTGAGACTGAATTTCTCAAGAAAACAAACAAATTTGGAAATACGGCTCTTCACGAGGCAACCTTCTATGGCAATTATAAGGCTGTAAGGTTCTTGGTAGAACGTTTTCCAGAGCTGCTTTTGGTTCCAAATGGGTTCGGTGAAACCCCATTGTTTACAGCTGCTGAATTTGCTGAGACAGAAATAGAGGAGTTTTTAATCCGATCCAAACCAGGACAATGCGTGGATGATGATGGCCTCCTATAACCAATTCACCGCCAGAGAACGGTAGATAACCTGTCCATCCTTAGCGCTGTTATCATAGGGCAAAAATTTGGTAACAATTCTTCTCTTTATTGAATTTTCAAATTTAAAAAGTATACATGTATAAGATATTGTATAATTTTTGTCTTCCCAATTTCATGAATGCAGAGACAGCTTTACTGTTGCTAGAACTGGATAAATCGCTCGCCAGCTTGAAGGACAAAAATCAAATATCTACTCTTCAACTTCTAGCGGAAATGCCAGCTACTTTTGAGAGTGGATTTCCCATGGCATATTTCAAAGACTCATCTACCGTTGTATGCCTCCTCCAACCACATTATTAGACCTTTCATTATTGCCTACAGTTCTTGTTTGAATACCTATATGTATATAATTTGAACTCTAAATTATGTTGCAGGCCTTCCTGTTAAACGTCACCACGAGGTAAAATCAAAGGTAAAAAGTTGGTGTCTGGCAAGGAAGAGAGATCTTGAGAGAGGTCGGGGGAGGAACTCGGAAGTGGCAAAGAAGAGAGATCTTGAGAGCGGTCGGGGGAGGAACTCGGAAGATCTGGGGAGTGTCTCGGATAGGAATCAAAGAGGCGGCCTACTCAACTATTTAAAGATCCCTAAAGGTATTATTAAGCTACCTTTATAATCGAGAGTAGATCAAGTTCTCCAATGCAATGAAACACATTTCATTCATGTCAACATTAAGGATAATCATAAGAATTTTAAATTTCAGTGGTCACGGGCTACACAAGCAGAGTAGTTCTACCAAATTTTCAATACCAATTGTCGCTTAAAAAGGTGTATTAGTGAATTAATATAAAATTATTTTTATGATAGCAGGAGTTTAAACGTTTTGCTGACGTAATCTTATACTTGAAAAAATGTGATTCGATGTTATAAAGTGGTTTTGGTTCACATCCTATTTTTAGATGCTTCCACTAAATTTAGTTTTCACCTTTTACTATCATTATTAACATTTCCTTCCATTTCATAATAATGTCTAGCTCTCATCCATGTTTAATTTCATTCCCTTTCGCACGATCATGATTTAGTATGTTGGCTAAAAGGAATCTGGGAGCAGAAAAGAAAGCATGTATTTGCTTTGAGATTCGCCGAAAGATCTAATAAAAGAAGATAAGTCATTGAAAGAAGTACAAACTTCCGAAACCTAACGTCTACCAGCACAAACTTCTGTAACGATGTCATCATTGACTACTTAAAAGGAGATCCCATTTTTTACTGCAACTAGAAGGGGAACAGAAAAGATTGTGAAGCTGATAATAAGACTACATCCTCAAGCTATTGACCAGCGCGGTGAAATGAATCGGAACATTTTGGATGTGGCCGTCATGTATCGCCAGAAAAAGATCTTCGATTTTGTGAAGCAACAGGAAATACCGTTCGCTAGACTTCGTCGAGTTGTTGATAATAGCAGCAACTCATTGTTGCACCATGTTGCCGATGTAAACCAAAACAGTGGAGTAACCAAGCCTGGGCCTGCACTACAACTTCAGGAGGAGTTGCAATGGTTTGAGGTGAGCCCTTTTCATCCATCTTGTATAAGAGTAACGATCCAATTAAGGTAAAAAAATTCCTTTTTAAAACTTTCATATTTATTTCCCAATAAGTGCAAGAGGTAATTCCTGATCATTATGTCCCGCTCCTGAACGACGATGGAAAAACTGCAAGAGAGTGCTTCGAAATTTCGCACAAGGAACAACTGAAAAAGGCACAAAAATGGATCAAGGAAACATCTCAGTCTTGTTCAACTGTAGCTGCACTTGTTGCTACTGTTGTCTTTGCTGCTGCCTATACTGTGCCCGGTGGTTCCGATGAAAATGGCAAGCCCAACTTCATCAACTCTCCCTATTTTCTGATTTTCACTGTCTCTGATGTTGTCTCCTTAGCAAGCTAGAATCCCCAATTTCAAAACAAACAAGGCTGCTTTCTTCTTTTTTTTCATATATAAAAAATATTAATATCCATTTCTTTCTCTTCTTTTCTCTTTTCTTTTTTTCTTAACTCCTTCTATTTTTCTCCATGCTCAAGTATATATTTTTCTTCTTCTTTTTTCTTATTAGTTTTTTTAATTAATATACTTTATGATTTTTTTCCTCTTCTTAGCTTCACTTGCAATTAAATTAAGGTAAGATTTTTTTTCTTTTTTTTTATTATTTTTGTTTTCACTATATTTTTTTTTATTGTTTTGTTCTTAATGATTGTATGAATGTTGTAGGATTTTTTTTTCCATATGAAATCAATTTTTAGTTGATTTATTTATAGGATTTTAAAATTTTTAGTAATTGCAACTTTATTTTTTTTCATATGAATTTTTTTAGTTGAATTTATTTTTTCTTGTTATTTATTTGTTGCAAATTTATTTGAGTTGATTTTTTTATTTTGTTTTCAAGTGTTTTGAGTATTATAGAGTTTTGAGTTATATTAATTTAATTATTTTATATTTTTGGTGTAACATGTAATCATGGGTATATTTGTAAGACATAATAAAAGTGAATGTGTGTTTGTTTTTTTTTTAAATGGATTTTTTTAATGATAAAATTACAAAGATAAAGAAGAATTTAATGTTTATAAAATTTTTAAATTATCTAGGATGTTGACTCTAAAGTTATCTTGGGTGTTGACTCCAAATTTTGAACTCAAAAATGAAATGAAATGGAGCAAATACTTTTCACTGTCGGCAACCTCATTTTTTTTCTTATTAGAAAACGAAAATTAAAAAAAAAAATAATAATATGACCGAGATAATTTGGGCCTGGGTTTGCTCGCTACTGAGCAGCCCACTCAAGGGTTACTATCAAAGACCATTGATCCAGTGGAGTATTCGAACACGGGGCTCATATCGGGCTTGTGTTTCGGAGATCATGGGCCCGACCTACTAGCATTGGATATGCCCTGCTTCTAATCCAGTTCCACCTAACGAAAAGGAAAAGAGCAAACCTGGTTCCATTGTTGGTCACTGCTTTGTACTTTTGTCAAGTTTGAAGTAACTTGTTTTCTTTCTTTGTTGCATCTAATTATGATCCCCATTTTTTGTTAGTTGACTCTTCCAAATTGATCCCTTTTGTAATTAATGCTCAAGCTCATCTGGGAAAGTTGACATTGTGTGTGGGAGCTCTTGGGCGAAATCATTTTTTTAATTTCTGCAGTTCAGTTATGTTCATTGTAGAAAATTAAGCTTCCCATATACATCCTCTTACCCTCTTTTATCTTGTTGCAGGTTGCTGCAAAGAAACTGACGCTGAAAAAATGTTACAGATTACATAGTAAATGTAATCTGTAAACTTTCTGATCTTGGATATAATTATGAAAACTTACCTTTTCGTAACTTTAGTGGCAGTGCAATTTTTTTCCTTAATTTGAACGCATGTTCATTTTGATTATGTTTCTTTCAGGTACAGCAGCTTATGGGAAAAAAAAAATCTGACATAAATCTAATCTTAATATATTTATTTTTATAGTGATCAATCAATCAAGTTCTTAAGCTATAAAAAGCAGAGTAATAATATATACCTCTGAAAACGGATTAATTCAGCTACTAAGAAAATATCCCTATAAAAGAGGAGCAGCTCATTAGAGCAAAACGTCACCGAAAAGAAAAGGTGGATATTAAGAGATCGACACAAAGTATTATTCAATTATTAAAAAAAGAAGATGGAAAGGTAAGACGGGTGCTGATAGGATGGACTTTCACGGTGCATGCCTCATTCGTTGGATGATTTGTTTCGTTAGTGGAAATGATTGATCAAAGAAAAGTTCTAGCAGAACGTATGGCAAGGACTCTTTTATAGAATTAATAGTATAGATTATCTGGCATAGTAGAAATGAATTCTTTTTTGAAAGCAATCATCCCTGATGGGGAATATATTTTCAGAAAGTATCCCTATAAAGGTGAAGCTCATCCGAGCAAGAAGTCACCGAAAAGAAAAGTTGATATAAATAGTATGGAATATTTAAAAGTTGATATAAATTGTTATATAACAACTTAAATTGAGGTAATTATTTAATATAATATAATATAATATTTTAATAATTAAGTGGTTAGAAATTTAAATCCTATAATTAAAGAGGACAATTTAACTTGTACCTAATAGAAACTAAGGTGAATGGGTGGATTTTTTTAATAATTATCCTAGTTGATGAGTAAAATCGAACCACATTTTGAGATGGAGGAATTATTTTAGGAACTGTTTTGATGCATACATTGAAAAACAAAACCAAGTATTTTAAAATTTTTGTTCTTGAAAAATATTTATATCAATTAAAACATTTACAAAATCAAAATAGAAAGCCATGTTAAAGCATCTATTCATTGGAGTAAAATAGGATCTAACAAAAAATAAAAGCCTTCCCAAGAATATGGTAGGTAAAAGAGGCAACACAAGAAACGAATCCTAACTCAAGTATATAATTTTAAAATCGAATTGTAAAATTAATTTAAATAAAATATATCTTTAATTAATTTTTTATTGGTTATAAATATATTTAACTTGCAACCTATTTTTCCTTATATGTTATGTCTCGTTAATGTGAGCAGAGTCCAATGGAGTTTTTGTTGTAGAAATGCACATGTGGAATCAAGATCACCAAAAGAGGGTGCAACAGTTCATGGACAACCTTGCTCAAAACTTTACGGTATGTTTGTTTAATCATTTTATTTTGTAAGATATTATTTTCTTGAATTGAATATGATAATTTCTTTAAAAAAATTTAGAAGACCTATAATAGCCGGTTGAGGGAGAGAAATGTGGACAATCCTTCGACCCATCCGGATTTTGATCAGAATTTATGGATGGAGGTAGAATTGTCTGGTAGACCCAATAAAAATTAGGTTTATGGGCTCTCTAACACTACAGCCGAAAACTTACTAGCAACCTGTCATGTCTCAACTATTGGGAGCTCTCCATCAGTATTGAGCACCATGTCTAAGGAGTTCATGGACATTAGATCAAGGATGGATGAAGATATATGTGCATCCCCTTTTTGACTATACTGTCTTGAAAACAACCAGTCTCCTCCTCCTTCAGCTCCACCATTATTTGAATTTAATTTTGTTTTTGAAAGACATTAAATTTATAATGAATATTTGGATGAATATTATTAAAATTATTTTTATATTTTTAATGTTTAATATAATTTTATTTGGTTATTTATTTTTTTTTACTATTAATCAATCTAACATTTGAAAAAATTTATTTATTCTAAATAATTTTTTAAAATAAATGTTGACGGCCTTAAAGATGGAATAGGTCTGTTAGTATTAGACAAAGACTTAAAAAAATTTACTATTCATGTCACAATCATCGATGGAATGTATCTGTTGGCAATTTATTATTGACAATATCAATGGACTGTAGCTATTAGTATTTTACTGAGAATTCTGAAACATTTATTGTCCATGCCACAATCACTGATGGAATGGCCGTTGGTTCCATTGGTGATGTATCGTTGGAAATATAGACAGAATAAGTTCATTGGTAAAGTTCTAGCGAGAATTTTTTATGGCATGCTTCCCCTGTCTATAAGGCTGTTGATGCTTGTTTTTTTTTTTTTGCCAACAAAAGTAGTGATGAAAATGAAAATTACTGACAATCAATATTTCAACAAACTAATTTCGTTAGTAATGCTGTAAGTAAAAATGTTATCAATGAATTGTGTGTCTTGCATCAATGGAATTAATCCATTGGTAAAATTATTTAATAGTGTAGTGTCTCATTTAATAATTTAAATTTTTGGATTAAGATGATTTTTGATAATTTATATTAGATATATTTTGTAATAGATTGGTATGAAGTTAGGGCTAAAATCTTGCTTCAATCGGTTACTTGTAGTAAAATTGGGTGTAAGTTTATGGTTATTATTATTATTTTAATGGATATCTCCCATCGATTTTCTCAATCACCTACAAGTTCGTTTTCTCAATCAGCTTGAGGGGGGCCTATGTATTGTATTCCACGGCTCTACTAGGTATTGCAAGGGTCTTAATACAATAGATTTACTATATTTAGATTATATGGGTAGCATATAAAATATGGGCAAGTCCTAACCTAAAAAGAGATAAGATCGTGCCGCCAAATAATTTATCAGATGAAAATATCCATAATTTTTTACTTAATTATTTAACATATTTTAAATAATTTTATAAGATTTTGGTTTTTATAGTGTCAGCCGGATATAACCACCAAAGCTCAATTTAAAACCTATTTAACTTATTCAGTTTTATTATTTTCCTAATTAATTTTAAAATCTTTAGCATGATATCTGTGTTTATGCTATTTTTTATTTGAATTACAATTCTTATTATTTTTATTTTTAAATTTCAATTTAAAACTTATTTAAAATGTTGTGATCTCTATTTTGAAAGCAACCTATTAGGAAAAAAAAACAATTCAAAAATAACACTAACTGGTGTGCTGACATATCTTTTGCACCTATTCTCTATGTCTCCATAGTTGCATGACACATGCCTCAAAGGCTTGCACTCAATGCACAACCATGGCAAACCAATGGTTTATCCTCTGTAAAAAGCACTAGATAGAATTGATGATCACCCATTCCTCCACTAATAATACATGTTCTTTTCCAAGAAGAAAGTTCAAAGACTGGGTTTTAAAAATACACTTAGACTGCAAGCATTATTCCCGGCCTGCCATGTTCAAGGACGTAGTTTCTTCTCTGAAACTTTAATGCCTTTGATGCCATGTTTCAAGGCAGGGGGATTACCCTTCGGCTTGTTGGAAATATATTTATCATGAACGTGGAACACAATTTTATATTCTATGCTTTTTAAAGTTAAAGTGTAATATAATTGTAACTATGTATGAACAAGCAAATGAGCACATCTCATATTATAGTGTAATAATTGTAACTATGTACGAGAAAGCAAGTGAGAACAAT